ATTATTGGGAAAATGAATTTACATGGACACAAACTTCTATGTCATGTCCACAGCATTAATAATTAATCAATATGTTCAGTACATAAAACGATGGTACTGTTAGTATATAGGTCCATACAAAAAGTTACCAGACGTCAGGTTTTTATTGTGTGTGTGGTTGGCACCCAAAATAACACCAGGACACAAAATGTCTCGTTTTTCGAAACGCTGTGGAAATTTTGTTCAATGCAATAATTTTCATTGACAAATGTTTCCAATTATCAGAATACTTTTTTCGAAATCGCGGTAGAGAATTGTGGTTTTTCTTGACATTGTCGTCGACAGGCTTTCATGGAGCTGTATTAAAAATTTGTCTTTTGTTATTAAGATTGAATCTTCATTGACGATTGGAAATGCAAAAGAAAATTTGGTTCAGAAACAGATCAATCAGTTTGTTTCTTTTAGATTTCGTAGTTTATTGGCAAAATTGAAAGTAGATAGGAGTGAGATTGATGAAGAATTTGTGGGAGTACAGCCTCCAATTCTTTCATGAAACCAGTCGTGAAAAAGCGAAAAAAGTGAAAAGCGTTTTTGTGACATTAATACATCCAGCCAACCGGCTGTGCCATCATGCTAAAGGTACCCCACAGTTTAATTGTACCATGTTTTCGACTACGAAATCGCATTTATTAATTTATTATTAACAAAATAGACCGAATATTCTCGATTTTTTCATAGTTTCATTTGTAACTTTGTAAATAATTAAACAATCTGGGCGGTATCAATACAAAAGTTGTAGACAATTAAATTACGAAAAAATGAACCGTCAAGCGACTTATTCGAGAAAATAGGTGCAGAGAAACCTCGTGAAAACTGGAAAATTTCATATTTTACAAATAACTCCGTTAATGTTCAACTTAGGGATCTGGGATTTGGAACACAACTAGTACTATTAATAATCTTCAAATATGCAAAGAGCGGAAGCCGTGGCATAAAAATTGTCGTCGCTATTTCAATTTCAATTATTTATTACCGATCAATTGTAGAATAGCTGTATGATCGTGAGGTGTTCCGATGTTAATTTTGAAAAATGATTTTGAAAGCTTACGAAAAGCGCAAAAACGTGTATATCTTGGTTTTTCGATAAAATGTTGGGAAATTCACGAATATTGGGCGCAAACGTGACTCCAAGCGGCCGAACAATGGAAAGTTCCATTCCTTTTCTCCCCACCACTTTGCTACTTTCCAGCGTTCGGCCGCTTGGAGTCATGTTTGCGCCCAATTTTCGTGAATTTCCCTACATTTTATCGCAAAAACAAGATATACATGTTTTTGCGCTTTTCGTGAATTTTGAAAATAATTTTTCCTAATTAACATCGGAACATATTAACATATTTTACAATTAATCTGTAATAAATAATTGAAATTGCAATAGCGACGACAATTTTTATGTCACGGCATCCACTCTTTGCACGTTTAAAGATTATTAATAGTACTAGTTGCTTATCAAGTCCCAGATCCCTAAGTTGAAAATTAACGGAGTTATCAGTTTATTTGTAAAATGTAACATTTTCCGGTTTTCACGAGTTTCCTCTGCTCCTATTTTTTTGAATGCCAGCTTGACGGCTCATTTGTGTCGTAATTTAATTGTCTACAACTTTTGTATTGATACTACTCAGATTGTTTAATTATTGACTGACATTGAATTGTCGTTTAACTCTTGGTGAAACATAATTAAATATTAAATTAAATTAAACTCTTGGTTTAATGTTTCACGATTATATTTAACAACATTAATTAGTCAACATGTTTCTACAGTGAGCTAGAATGAAAATATGAGAAAATCGCAAATTTTCGGTCTATTTTGTAAATAATAAATTAATATTAAATTAAATTAAACTCTTTTCGTAATGTTTCACGATTATATTTAACAACATGAATTAGTCAACATGTTTCTAGAGTGAGCTAGAATGAAAATATGGAAAAATCGCAAATTTTCGGTCTATTTTGTTGATAATAAATCAATATTGAATTAAATTAAACTCTTGGCCTAATGTTTCACGATTATATTCAACAACATGAATTAGTCAACATGTTTCTAGACTGAGCTAGAATGAAAATATGAAAAAAATCGCAAATTTTTGGTCTATTTTGTTAATGATAAATTAATATTAAATTAAATTAAATATGTTTCACGATTATATTTAGCAACATGAATTAGTCAACATGTTTCTAGAGCAAGCTAGAATGAAAATATGGAAAAAATCGCAAATTTTTGGTCTATGTTGTTGATAATGAATTGATAAATGCGAGTCCGTAGTCGAAAACATGGTACAATTAAATTATTGTGTAAATATAACATGATGGCACAGTTGGTTTGCTGGTTGTATCAATGTCACAACAAATTACCAATTGCTTGGCCTATTTACATTGTCATCGACAGGTTTTCACGAAGCTGTATTGAGAGTTTGTCTTTTGTTATGGAGAGTGAATCTTCATTGACGATTGGAAATGCAATAGAAATCAGTGAACTAAAAAAAAATTGTCTCAGAAACAGATCAATTAGTTTTTTCTGTTAGAGTTCGTAGTTTATGGGAAAAATTTAAGGTTGATGGGAGTGACATTGATTTGTGAGACTACAGCCGCCAATTCTTTCATGAAACCAGCCGCTAACATAAACAGATGTCCTGTTTTTTTGTTATGTGTCCGGATGTTCCCAAACAGGGGACAAAGAATGGGTTGGAAATGGTGTGGAAATTTTATGGACTGCACTACTTTTTTTTAAAATTGTTGCCGACAGATTTTCACGAAGCTGCATTGAAAATTCTTCTTTATTATTAAGATTGATCTTCATTGACGATTGGAACTGCAATCGAACTCAGTCAACTGAAAAAAAAATTGGCCCAGAAACAGATCAATCAGTTTTTTTTTTAAAGTTGATAGTTTATTGGCAAAATTGAAAGTCGATTGCAATGACATTGTTGAAAAATTTGTGAAAAGTACGACTACCGAATTTTACGGAACCAACCGCGAACACAGAGTCTCCAGAAAGCATTGGACATAATGATTGAAAATGGAATAAAATGATTGTAATAAAGACACGGAAATAATTGACAGATTATCATTAATTTATAATTATGTAGGATGCAGAAAACAACCGAATGGAATAACCGAAAATTTTCTTTAGAAGCTACCTCAGTGGAGTATGAACAAATTTTGGTAATCTTAAAGAACCCAGTTACATATTTCAGTTTTGAAAGCGATATGGATAATTGTTGTGAATATAGAAAACGTTCTAAGAAATTCATTCTTCTCAAATTTATTCGTCTGATAATTATAAAAATAACTAGTTGAAAAAATGTTTCACATATTATTTTTAATTTACAATAATCAACCATCCTTAATAAAAAATAATGAAATTGTTAGTAGAGCTCAATTGTTTTTAAAGATATGGAGGTCCGCTTTGAATCAAGGTCAAGATCGTTACGTTATATACATATAAATATTAATTATAATAGCAAATTATATTCACATCCTCATACATATTGTCATAAGATGCACATTGATACCAAATTTATATTTACATAAATTGAAAATATTGAAGTTTTTTTTACATAATTGTAACAGATTTTCCTGGATATTTAAAATTTTTTATAATATTTCATCATGAACATTTCATTCATTTTTGATTTCATTTAATGATGCATATTAAAATATCATTAATGATTCATACATTACAAGATTTCCATGAATGAAGTTTTCGTAGCAGTTAGTGTTTTCTGTTTACGCAGTTTTTTCTACCCATTAAATTTCGAATAATTTTATGAACTCCTCTGAGTTTCGAATCGAATTTGTTAGCCTGTACATTGAAATAATCTAAGCCGTTCAAATTTCTATCACGGATCTATTTTCCCGTCGGTTTCGTCTGCGAATGTAGTTTTCATGAAATTTTCCATCCGATAAAATGTCACGGATATGTGACATTTCCAACCGGATTCCACTTTTGATATACTGCATTCAATTTTACATATTGACGATATTCGCACAGATATGTAGGCGGGAAATTGAGTCATTTTCCTTGAAATGCGAATTTATGAGTGCTGCTTAAAGGGGGATGATGAAGAGAACGAAATATGAAATAAATAAAAAAATATATTCGTATATCTATATACGAATATATGAAAATAAATCCCTATTTCCCTTGGTTACCTAGTTCCCTGAAAAATTATTTGTTTTCTTTGGTGTTGTCAGGATGAAGTTCTAAGAAAGGAAAAATTAATAAAATTGCGCGAAAAATGAGAAAATTCAAGAATGCTTAACCACTATGTTGAAGAATTTTGAAAATTGGATAGAAAATATTTGAATATCTCAAAATTTGTAAGTGAGTGACTCAAAGAGAAAACAGTCAGAAATCTTCAATAAATTGACAAATTATTGGGAGATTAACAACAGTTTTCAGGGCAGCAGTTGATAACCATTTGAATATTGACAGTATGCATTTACATCATTTCATATTCAATTACCTTTTTAAGTAACTGCAAAATGTCATTTACTGTGTGTTGATGTGAATTTAGAGGTTTAAAAACGTCATTTTGTTCATTGTTTAAATTCATTATACGTTTGATTCCTATGGTTGGAGACGGAGAAGAAACGTACATTTCATTCAGTTTGCTATATCACTTCCTTATAATATATATATATAATTCCAACATATTCGTTTGAGAAAATTCGTTTTAGAACTGATGTTCATACGTTAAATTTGAGATTTAAGGGATTACTATCGCAGCAGTTCTTCACACTTCTGCATATACTCGATTTTTCTCGCAAAACATATGCTTTGTTTAAAATCAGGTACTCTCTTATCTGAAAGATCTTAGTCTCTTTGAATTCAGAAAACAATTCAAACCGTTTTTATTTGAAAATTAAACTTTTGTGTTTTCAATTCAGTGGAGCTACAGTTTAACGCCAGTTCCGAACGGCCAATGGGCTTGCAATCAATATAAATTACCCGACAATTATCATCATCACATCGGGGTTCGAACCCGAATCCTACCGCACTATAGTCGGGTGTTCTCCCGACTAAGCCACGGAGACTTTCTAGAATTTATATTTTCTATCTGAAGTAAGACTTCTATCTCAATATCTCGTACGGAGTATGTAAAATATAGAAATCTTGTAGAGTTAAAATTTGGAGCTTAATATAATATCAGTTTATTGCCTTGAACTCCTTTTTGCAAGTAATTATAGTATCAAATAATTTGTACGATATTGTTTTTGTTTATGGATATTGTATACTGTTAAAGAATAAATTATTATTATTGTCACCAAGAAAATGTCACCAATGATACGTTAAAATATTGTAAACGTTAAGTAAGACGTTAAGTTATCAATAAAGAAAGATATTCAGATTTTCAACGAAATTACGAAACATCAAACGAAGTTTAAAGTGTATTGAATAGTCTTGGTGTAAAAACCTTAATTTACGCCTACTTGATGTAAAATCATTATAAATGAAGATGAGATTTCTAACAATTGGACTTTTGATTTACACTTTTATTGAGAACATGACGCATGACGCGTTTCGTCGTTACAAGCGACTTCTTCAGATGCAAACAGAATACTCTCTGTCACTGTATTCTGTTAGCATCTGAAGAAGTCGTTTGTAACGACGAAACGCGTCGTGCTGTTTTCAATAAAAGTGTGAAACAAAAGTTCAAGTGTTTGAATTGAAGTTTATATTCAATTTTTATTATTACTTTTATTATTATATCTATTTTATTCTAATTACCTATTTACTTATTTATTCATCTACAATTTAAAGTGAATATGAAATAAAATTCAAACACTTGAAATTTTGATTCACACTTTTATTGAAAACAGCATGACGCGTTTCGTCGTTACAAACGACTTCCTAAGAGAATAATGAAAATGATAAGAAGTCGTTGGAAAGGACGAAACGCGTCATACTATGTAGTGAATAAAGTGTAAATCATAAGTTCAAGTGTTTGAATTTGAGTTTATATTCAATTATAATGGATTTACATCAAGTGAATCCCAACACTATTAAATAATAAAAATGTATATATAAAAAATATTCGGAGTACACAATAAACAATTTATCATCTATATCTAATGAAGCCACTGTGTTGGCGGAACAATATTGTTTGACTAAATTATAGTGAAAATCGAAAAACTGCTTAGTTTTGTTCAAATTATGTTAATTTCACTTCAATTCATTGAATTAAAGTAAAAATTACGAACAACTTAGTTTTATTCTTATGATTTCTATTCAATTTCATACCTCTATCTTCATTTTCTTTAACATGTAATAAAAATATAGAAATAAGTGAATATATTTTCTACTTTTGATGGAAACAAAGTTTTCTTTTGAAAGTATTTGGTAGGGTTGAAGTATGAATCCCTTCAAAACCGGTTATATAAACATTTTACTGATGCGATAAAAATGTGATATGAATACGGTCTGTGTTCTAAACAGACCGTAGCAACAGTATACAAAAGAGATTTTTTCGATATTTCACTGCAACAAAGCGGCGAAATAATGCGGTCACAAACTTCAGGATCCAAATATACGCATATTTGAACTCCATACAAGAAGCAGAAAGAATACGGGCTTTCCACTGTCCAAGTTAAATCCTCTAGTATATTTTCCCCATTTTATTTGCAGATGACACACAACGAAAGCCAGACAATGGCCCAGCAGTGGGAGAAGCTGTCACCGCAGGAATTTCAACAGCTTCAGGACCTCGCTGCATGTAAGTAAACATATTCGATTTTGGGAATTTCGGGGAAAACACTGATTCAGTTTCCGTAAGTTAGTTTCGTATATTATGGTTTCGAGAAGAATATTTCGTTATTCACTAGAAAGAGGGTATAAAAATTGTAATGGAAAAAAACTTTCCCCTGAGAAACTTAATTTTAAAAGTTAGGAAAAATATGGGGGGTCCGATAGAATTGGATATTTTTGTTTAGACGAATGAGAACTATTCGTCTTAACCTTAAGAATAATATAATTCTCTCTATTTCATTAATTTTTGAGTTATGGTGTTGTTCTGTGGGGAAATTGTGCCAATTCCTTGGTAGTTTCCACATTTCAGAAGAAGGCAATTTGTATGATGGCTGGTGTTGGTTACTTGGATTCATGCAGACCATCTGTCAAAATAAAAAATGATGCCCTTGCCTACATTGGAGATATATAACGTCCTTGTTGAAATACATAAGGATGTAGATACGTTGACAAACAGTCTGATCGACATAATTACAATACAGGAGGTGTAAATAATATCCGAACAACTAAATATCGTCCAAGTAAATAAAAAAACCCGACTAATTACAATTTATACAATATCATACCTTCTCATTTAAAACAGCTTTCTTTCAATGAATATACAGAAATATCTTCTGAGATTTTGCTTGTTTTCTGTCAGCGAGCACTTCAAGGCGAAGTCTTCAATGTGAATATGCTCACCACATTTTTATGAACTTGGTTTTTTTTGTGAATTCCGTGTATTCTTTTTATTGTTTTATTTTGAATGAATTATTTCAGTTTGATAGGTTTATATTGATTAGATTTCAATATTAGTTTCACCTAGGATTAAGTGTCTTTATTTTTCACCTTATAATATTTGCCAATTTATGTTAATTTTATTTTTGGAGGTGTGGAAGAATGTATTGTCAAACTTCTACCATTTGTTGAAAGAAAATTTCCCTACAATTAAGGTTACTACAACTACCATAATAGTAGACTTTTGACCAGCTTTTTAATTCGAGTACGTTTGTTGTGATAGTTGAGTATCGCTTAATGCGAAATATTCTGTTAGTACAGCAGGATATACGGTGATCTGAGTTCATAACTACCTCTGAAATACCTCAGGGGTCTAATCTTGGGCAACTGTAATTTATTCTGTTCGTAAATGATCTAATGGATAATTATTGGATTAAATTAAACTCTTGGCTTAATGTTTCACGATTATATTTAACAACATGAATTATTCGACATGTTTCAAGCGTGAGCTCATTTTCAAGACTGTTTGTCGACTAATTCATATTGTTAAATATAATCGTGAAACATTAAGCCAAGAGTTTAATTTAATTTAATATTTAATTATGTTTCACCAAGAGTTAAGCGAGAATTCAATCTCAGTCACTAATGGATAATATTGACTCTCCACATTTGTTGTTCGCGGACGATTTGAAACTATATCATGAAATTCGATCACAGGACAACTGTGTTCAACTTCAGCTCGCGCTTGAGCATGTTGCCAGTTGGTTCGAAGATAATTATTTGAGTTTGAATGTGTCAAAGTGTAATGTTGTCTCTTTCACAAAGAAAAAAGATAGAACTGAGTGTGATTATAGCGTAGGTGGTCAGGTTCTCTCTCGTTCTGATAGGGTCGGAGATCTTGGTTAGTCTTCGATCAGAAACTGTCCTTCATTCCACACATCACCCAACTTATTTCATCTGCCTCGAAAATATATGGATTCCTTATGCGTAATGGCTAATATTTCAATAATTCCTCAACATTTATAAGACTATTTAATGCCCTAATCCGTAGCAAGTTGGAGCATAGCAGCATGATCTGTCATCCTTTTTATGCTATCAGTACCATCTTGAGGCCATTCAGAGGAGGTTCTTGAAACTGTTAGTTTGGAGGGAGGATAAAGTTTATCCACATAGAGGTGTCAATCATGACGAATTATTGAGTCGATTTAGTTTAATCTCATTGCAGGACAGGAGAGAAAATTTACCTCTCAAATGTTTGTACAAATTACTGCACAACAGTATTGACTCTCTTGTCTGCTTTGAAATTTCGTGTTCCTAGGCAATATTCTTGTACCACAGAATTATTCCACCTAGAGACTCCGAGGAACAACTCGCTAATACAATCCCCCATTTGTTGGATGGAAGTTAAATTCAAAACAGTTGCTAATAAATGTGACATTCACTTTGACTTCATAGAAGTCTATTTGATCAGGGAGACAATTTTGCGATTCATTTCAATTTAAAGATCTCTACGTGTGAAAAACTTGTTTCTATTATAACCTTCAAATATCCTCAGAAAATTACTACCAAAAATGCAACGTTAACTCTCTGCTATCATATTTAAATTGATATATGATATAATAACTCCTGCTTATTATTCCCTAGCGTGAAATAAAACGGGTTATTCATCGCATATCACAGATATAAACAACCAATTAGGGGTAGGTTATTGCAAATTATTTCAACTCGATGAATCATGGCATGGCATTCATGAGAATTATATCAACTATTTTCAGTGAAATTAGTGTTTAATGACTCTCAGGCGTTGGCAAACTATTATAATTATTATCTAAATATTATTTTTCACTTCTAGCAATCAGAATTCATTATTGACCCATGCTTTTCACGTCTTTGAAGAATAGTATTAGATATAATTGGGATTATATCCTTACGTAAGATATAGAGAACTACAACAATCAATGATAATTAGTATTTGAAAAATTGTGACGTAGTTAATACCCTAAAGATGAATAAAACTATTTAAAAACAACTAATAATGCTAATATATTGTTGATTGATGATTCGTTGCTTTCTTCGCGAAAAATCGTTTGATTTTCATTGAATAAAACACACTTGACTCAGTTTCAAGAATTATAATAATTACCTGTCAATTGTTTTGGGGTTTTAAGGCATGTCGAAAAGTTCAACATTGTAAATACTAACATTTATGTATTTTACATATTTACCTGTTACAAACATATAGTGGGGATATTTAGGGTTGAAAGACAATTGGGATACTTAGGATCAAGGTATTCGAAAGGGAATACAGAAGTAAGGCTTTGAGAGAATAATGTTTTGATGCCTAAAGTCGATTTTTTTTAAAACTATCTCTCCTCTAAAATATTTTTCGAAACAGATAAATATAAGAAATACATCGATGTTCTTGTCAAGAATAGTTATTCAGTTCAACTTTTGAAAATAGGGTACCTCTACAAAACAATTCTCAGACAATTTCTGTATGTTAAAGAGAAAAATACAATTTTGAAATTATCACAAAGAAACGGTTGAATCTATCCGATAATTGATATAAATTC